CCGGAGAAGTTTCAGGATGTTTATTTAAAAGGTAGGCTATTGGGTCTAAATCCATTAGCTTGTTTTGAGTTACATCCAGTAGTGACTTAACCTGGTCAATATCAGAACCGTTTTCCGTGTCAACTGGGATTGGCAGTGTTATGCTATCAAACGGACCTAATTTGTCCTGAAGTTCACTTACCTGCCTCTGGATATCTTTCACAATGCAGTTCAATTATCAGTGATCAGAGACCCCTGATATAACATCTTTCACCTGTATCACAGGAGTGAGAACTGCACTCGAGCCATTTTGTGATCTAGTAGTTGATACCGTATTGCAGGGCGGTAATGCAGTTACAACCGAGGTTGAGACACTATCTAAAACAATTTCGTTTCTATGGTCACGGAGTTTAGAAATCTGGACCATAATTTTAAGGATTATATATCAATAAGCAATAAATGAATGTCATAGAAAACACGTCCAAAAATGTCACCAATTTCGAACGTACCGCTCCAAATAACATATGGGAACTATAGTAAAGTAAACTGGGCTTTCGTGCAATCAATTCTGAGGTCCTCTGAATATGGTGAATACTTCGCTACTGATGACCTATCAAGAGTTCTGAGCATCTCAGCATTTCTCTCCTCATAGACAAAGGCAGGCTATACGCTGACGCCGCAGGCATTTGCGAATTATTCGACAAAACGTTTGCAGCTAGCTAGCCTAAGCCTACAGTCCCATTACCCCGTATACACCCTACTAATATGGCGCAACTTCCACTCATGCTAACATTAAACAAACATTAGGACTCTAAGAAGTTCTAAAGGTATTAGCACTGAGGGTATTTCATAGTATCCCTACAAATATGGTGGCCCTGACATTTCCTTACAACCGTTTGAATCTTCACAATGTCCTTAGGAACCCAAACTTACCTCGATATATGGAAAACGGCATTAATTACATCTAAACAGAAATGCAGTCCGAAAACAGAAGTTCACAACTATTGGTCAATCAATGCCACACCTACAGCATCTAGAATTATGGAGAGACTAGTTAAACATAACATACTAAAACATATGCTTAGCTGCAATACCTTGAGCTGGAACCAACATGGATTTCTAAAATCTAGATGATATTTAACATGCCATCTAGACTTTTAGTTTTGTGACCAGTAGTCTTGACAGGTAGCAACTAGTACTTGTCATCTGCTTTGAGATTTCTAAGACACTTGACAGCGTACACCATTTGCTGCTGATACATGAGCTGAATTCCTTAGGAATACGTGACCCACTATTAGGATGGCTTAAGTCATTCCTAATCAACAGGTCCCAGGTAGTCGGACTTGGGCCTGTGACTTCCGAACCTAGCTTGATCACTTCTGGTCTAGTTCATGGTAGCGTCGTTGGGCTCTTCCTATTAACACTTTGTTACTTTATGGGATCTACGATTCAGTCCGGGCAAATAAGGCTGGATCTGCGCACCCTCAATCGACATAAAATTAACGCTTCAATCTGCTAACCTACACGGACCCGGAAGTGTCGTTGGCTTAAGCCTCAGGTACTATTGTGACCTAAGATTTTCTAAGCAAGTGACACTGCAGACTCGAAAGTCTGGGATGATCTTAGGATGCATACTCAGGAACGTTAACGACAATGAGGCCAAGCACATTCTACACGAAACATGTGTAAGGCCACTATTAGAATACTGTCCATTCACTATTAGCGGCACTGGCATATGTGACGAGCTGAGGATGGGAAGTATCCAACTATATTTCACGTCCAAGTTATTTGGTTATGATTGTAAGAAAGATTGCATTTCACAGTGTATGTCTCTAAATCTTAACCCACATTGGATGACGCAGTAAAACAAATTTGACTGGCGATAACCGATATTGGTCTGCATCGAGTACGATTCACATCTGGTGTCACTTACGATGAAAATGCTGACAGAGTTATACAAACACATCACTTATTTTCATTTAATACCCAATTTGGATATGTATCAAGAATGCGATTCGATGCCGTACACACCAAAGTCATATGGGGGAATTGACTTCAAGCTTTATATTATCCCAAGTATTTGTAATCCATATAAGTATAAAACTTGGGCACTGTGGTAGAGTGTAACTCCATTATGGATAAGATTTTATTTTGATAAATCACAGTGTTATATAGTAATATTAACTGATGACGTTTCCATCACAAACTATTGCTCATAATCATATCCATCCGACAGATGCTTGGGTTTTTTGTTAATGAGAAGGCAATATTTCCATAGTTCTTAATATACTCCATTGAATCATTAGCTAACAGATTGTTCTCACAAACTGAAGCACAAAAATTACAGAAACCATATGATTCACCACAAACAAACCTATGTAATTAAAATAATACTTATTCATGTCTGTACAACTGGTGTGTTCCTACACAGACAGGAATAGATATATTATGGTAAATATTGGATTGTCATCTTACTACCTCCCACATCTGAATTAGCTTTCTAATGGTTGAGGGTTCAAATATTTAACGTGGGTTAATTGTCCACCAGTCTGCGAAAAACAGGACTGATATGAACATTAGTTAAACTGAATATTAAATCGGCGTTTGCTCAAATATCGTGCAGTGATCAACACCATCCCCACTATCCATAAACTGACCATGAGAATTCCCGAGTCGCTAGCTAAAATTTGATATGTTTCGTCTGTAAGCCAGCTGGTCTGTTCAGAGTATTCTACAATTCGGGTCGAGACTTTCGTAACACTCAGGCTGCCTTTATTCCTATGCAGGCATTAGAGAATGGAAAACTTCAGTAGGAGGGCAATATATGGAAGGCAGATTGCACTGTTTAGGTTACTCTTCTTCAATAAGAAATTCAATGATTTTATCTGTTTATGCTTTTGAAACAATTTGATTCTTCAATCAGCCAGCAGTAGGTAAGTTTTAGCTACCACTAGCAAGAATATCAAATCAGTGTTGCTAGGCAAGTGGTGAATAAATACGTGAATAGTGTGGTTTTAAGTGCCAAATTTTTCAAATTAGGATGACTCTCCTCACAATTTGTAGGCTACATCAAGTTTGACTGTTTTTCCATCCAGTTTATAAACTAATTTGTTCCAATATCTGTACCTCCAGGAAGCAGAGAGGAAAAGAAATATTGGCACACATTTACGTTTCTCTAATTATGCACTGTATGCTTAGAAGTGCCCTCTAATCCTATTAACGGAACCTTTATATCGACTTCGCTGCCTCTCAGGGATCGACAAAGCACAGATTAAGGGAGCTATGAAAACAGCGCTTTCAGCTTTTAAGCATCAAAATTTCAACCATATATATGGCCGTATTTTCCCATCGTCGACACGGAAGTTTACTATGCGACAGCCAATGGTATCCTTTCAAATTTCGAACAGCGCTCTTTCTCAGTTGAATTAGAATTGAGTGCACTGTGTGCATGTCAAAACATTCGGGTCTCAGTCGTCACATTATCCGCTGAAAGATGTGACATAATATCCAAAAGATTCCAGAATACTTGCAATGAATCACGAGGGATAAATGAAGGTAGATGTCCCTTAGATACATAAAATCTCTTCCAATTGCTTTATGCTCCGTGCATCTAATATTAGTATGGAAAATTCTATGGTAGCTTCAGTTGAGCATATAGAATTGTACTAATGTGCATGGGTCAGGAATCAAATAATGTTGACATAGAGGGCGAAAAAAATTCGCAATGCGTAGGACTGAAGGAGATCATCATACATGAAGTATTTTTACTTAGGCGGGTGGCGACGATGTCCTCTTGTTCCTCAAGCATTCTCGAGGTGATTTTCACCACAAACCAAGACAAAAGCCTTTTTCTGGGACATTTTCATCAGGTGAGCAGCCTGGACTATTTGGGGATCTACTAGTTACATGAAGTCTTACTATTATTTACAATGTCTGAGAAGTGAGAACTGCAGTGAATTAGGCAGTCATTCTAAAGTATACGTTGGTTCATAAGTTGGAAGTGGTGACTATCGGTTATCATATTTGCATATTGTCGTGAACAAATGAAGGCTCCAGGCATGAAGGAACTCATTATATTCACAGTCGTTGGATTACCTTAAAGCCTGTGATATACTGGACGCTCTACTATGAGAACACATGGAATCAGTAGGGTATTGTTGCAACATATGCCTGGTTGTTCAGGTATAGGATATAGCTATGTGAAAACATTTTCAAGACTCGCCGTTAAAATAGCGGACGGCCACACAGTATCATAAAGTTTACTATTTAGATGATATGAACTATGAGATGACTTTGGGGAAGTAATTAAGCATCTGTGCACAGTGTTACAGATGAAATGAATTCGCCATATCAGAAAAAACCACACGAGCCATTTTTATTCATTTGGGTTTAGAGTTAACATGGCGATAATATTCGAAGGTCAGGATAAAATGTAGGACGAGGAGTACTGACATGAGATACAAGGCATATCAGCCTCTGCTCACTGATACCCTTACCATTACCTGTTGATCTTCAGTGACTGCTGAACAAGTGTGCACGTGAGGATACAGAGATTTGTCGATCAGAGTGAGGATAGTGTTGTCAAACATGATTAAATACTAAAGGTAGGAGACCGGCAAAGAATATACAAAATCCCATGTGTTCAGTTTGAGCATCAGTCTGCCAACAAACTACATACACAGTCAAAACTACTTCCTGTATGGTAAGTAATAGTAGATAACCGATATTGTAGGATCATCACAATATTGGCATTCCTTTCTCAGGCTTGATAAATAAACGATGATTATGAAAACTAGCACTGTGCATACTACTTGATTCGAACAAACTCCATCTAGTCTAGATGGATTTCATTGTCCTATCAACTGACTGCTCACTAGCCTTTTTTAATGAAAAAATGGCTTACATAAGAATCTTCTCAGAAGCAGGGTGTTTTCTGATAGTACCGAATATAAATTCACTGACACATATTTGATTCAGAAGATTTTAGAGGCTACAGAGATACTTGTTTTAATTAAGAGAAACAGAAACTTGATGGCATGGCTACCGTGAGCCGCAACATATAGGAATGGGCCTTGACTATTACCTTTTGTTGAATATCCCACAAAGTGCTCAACATGCAGATATCTGTAAAGCGTAAGTAGAATGTAGCAAATGCACACTATATGCAGGTCAAACACAAAACGTCTTTGAATTGTTTGTACTTGTGTTAGTAAACGCTGATATACTCTTCAGTTTCCATAAGAAATCACCGACTAAACGCATTTATAAACGAAAGTCTTTTGTGCTTCGCAGGCTCAGAATGTTGGTAGGAAAAGTTTCGGGAGAAATAGTTTAATGAGATACTCTGCATGACTTCCCTACCCCCCAGGAAACATCCGTAGTTTTCAGTAACTACACTGTAATATTTCTAGATAGATGATGTCTAATGTGCATTAACTGTCTTCCCTTGTCTATTCGTGATACCTATTATTATTTTTTTGTAATGATGAGTCCCTGAAAATTTCCCCAGCCGAAACTCTTCAGTAGCATTTCCTAAACAAGCAAGTTATCAGGTGGCAAAGTTCGTACTCTGCCGTGTCTTATATATTTAAATATATAATGTGTGCAGTCGTGGTGTGGTTGTATGTTAATGCATGCAGTGCTATTGCTGAGCTTTTTATCTAAATTACTTATCTTCACTGGGTTAATCATTTTAAGCTTAGCTAGTTTTTTATGTTCTGATAATCTCACTACTCCTAATCTACTCGTTTGACCTATGTGGTTGACCTCACAGTCATTTTTTGTATTCTGCATATACATATATATATATTATTCTGTTTAGTTGGGTCCACTGGATCCCTTAACCTACAGAGCTTGTCTCTGGGTGAGTTTGTAGGTTTGGATGCCACCCTAATTCCTATTTTATTGAAAACCCTACATAGGGTCTCAGATATCCCCTCCTTATATGTTATCATTATTAGTTTCACCATTATTTTTATGTTGTTACTGACCTTTTTTGATATTCCTAATGAATGTTATAGGGTAGTTATTTAGCACCAGCGCTTCTTGTATCTGTCTGATTTCATCATTTAGGTTTTTTGTTGTACTACTTAGTGCTACTGCTCGGTTTGTTAGGCACTTAACTAAGCCTGCCTTTACAGATCACGGATGAGATTAATTAAAGTCGAAATATCTTTTAGAATACCAGAAGACAGAGAATTACATTATGGCTCTCGTACTTTAGTATTTTCACACACTAAATGGCAAAGCCCACACCACTCTTTTAGTATCACTTTTGTACACTATGATTGTTAATAAATATTTCATAAATGGAAAAATATATCGTGTAGGACCAAACTGTTTACAGTGTTTCTGGTTGGACGAACTAAATATTTCTGTATTCTGCTTAAAATTCTGTGTTTTCTGATTAAAGGATTCAACATGATCCACAATGATGTACCTGAGTAAAGCAGGTACTATTCATGTACAATCTGTTGCTGTCATAGTTGTTTCAAAATATATACCACCAGAATGAAAATTGCTTTTACTTATTAGGAGATTTTGTTCTGCACTGTCTTGAAATCCGTCTGTGGTGTAAAGAAGGGCTGAATGAGATCTAAAATGCTAGCGTTTTGTAAAATAAGTTTAAAATGCATGAAGAATTGGCATAGTGATTTATTTACTTTGCATATATTTAACCCTACATTATTTTGCTTAACTATGTATCTAAATAGTTATTTCACTTCTAGAAACTTCACACTGCATAATGCTTCTTCATTGTTGTCAGCTTTACCTTCATCAGTTCTTGTTTGTCATGCTTGAATACTACTGAGAAGACTTTAAAATATAAAATTATTTTGGTTTGAATCTCCATCTTGTTATTATTACAGTTTGAAATTTGAAGTTAATCGATCAGCTTCACAACTTTCATTCTACAATACCTACACTATGCAAACTTTAGTATGACTATTTCATCATGTGTATTATATCTTTAGTGATATGGTAGTCTTTCATTAGTTTGTATCTCAAAATCCTGTTGTGATGATAATAAATCTCATACGGAAATAACTAATCTTACAGTGTTTTATTCCTTGAGATAGTTAAGTGGTAATGTCACTTCTGGATAACATGGATAAACACTTTTCTGGAATTGCTGTCTTTTAATGAACCTAGAACTTAGGTAATCATCATTAATGGCTCTTTTTGTCACTACCACATATACTGTATTTTTAAATTTACATGCCGTTACTTCTCTATCACCCTGCAGACTGTTTGAAGCTCTCTTCAAGTTTCTAAAGAGCTGCTTTTCCAGTGGGACAATCGGTATGAAACACTATATATTTTTTATTAAGGCTGTTGAAATTCTCAACTGCATTCATCCTGAAGCATAGATTATTTAAAGCCAAAGAATTCATGCATGAGTTCCAGTGGAGATAAAACTGATTCATTTAGTACTTGTACGTGTAAAATGAAAATGACATACTTTAGTCTGGGTCATCTCTAACCCTGTTGTTTCACGATGTTAGTTGTGGAAACAGAGGTATACAACACATACTCCAGGCAATCCTGTTGTTTTTCTCTAAACCTAGTCTTTCAACAGAAATAATAATTGCTTCTTCATTGACTGCTTTTTCGGGATAAAAGTTTTCATCCACTAAATGTATTTTATCTTAAAAAATCCCTGGTGGCCTTAGTTTGTATTTCCAGTCTCATCTTAGTGACTTTTGTGGAGTCTACAGCTTCCTATTCAAAGTGGCCAGTTTTACCAAGCGTAGAATTATTCAGCTGATAATGCGGTATAGTTTGAGTGGGGATAGTTTTGATAACATATAACAAAACTTGAGATATAACCAGTGTGGGACACTGTAGAATTCCTATGCTTCATGCCCACCAATATAAGGAGTGATTGTCTGCTGCTTTGATAAATAAATCTATAAGGTTAAAACGACAAACAAACCCGTTCAAATGACGATGAAATATTTTGTTCGAAGTTCCTTGTTGATTATTGGCATCCATCTAACATAAATTTAGGATTTTATTAGAAATGATATGACTAGTGATATTAACGAATGCTTTTGAGAAGCAATTCAGTTTTAACTATCTTGATAAATATAACTTATATAAAGTCTGTTGAAGACGAACAACAACATATGGAGAGATATTGGCGGCGAATCATAATTATTGATACTATTTACTAAAAAGATTTGCATCTTCAGGAAGTTAAGATTTTAGTTTGCTGTAACGCCGCAAAATTTCGCTGAAGAGTTCTTTTGCTAACTGTGACCGATAATTTTCAAAATGGACTAATCAATCACACAGTGTTACACAGTAATATTAACTGATGACGTTTCGAGCACAAATTATTGCTCATAATCATATCAAGTTACTTACACAACTTTTTACTTCATTTATATATATGTATTTGATCAATAACACTCATATTATTATTTGTGAATGTACATTATCCTATATTGATTTTATTCAAATGTCTAATCAGCAATTTTTACTCATGTATATAAATGAAGTAAAAAGTTGTGTGAGTAACTTGATATGATTAAGAGCAATAATTTGTGCTCGAAACGTCATCAATTGATATTACTGTGTAACACTGTGTGATTTATCAAAATAAAATCTTATCCATAATGGAGTTACACTCTACCACAGTGCCCAAGTTTTATACTTATATCAATGGACTAGTCAAATAAAAGAAGAAAAGAAAATTTGTCAGTAGTACGTCGGAAACTGAACTTATCGCTTCTTCCCATACAAACCCTCGTTTGAAGGTCTACAACAAGTAGCTGGTAAAGATCAGAATATGTATTCATTACTGAAGTTCCAAGACCATAAGTTAGGAGAAGAAAAGGAGAACTTCACCGAGGAATGAACATCAAGTACACTTTCTTTCATTGTTAATTTAAAAACGAATTCACTCTACCATTTTATAAGAGTATGACTGGTACGACTATGAATAATTTGTGTTTTCATTAGTTAATATGAGACGTTAATGGAAATGGCAATACTGGTGCGTCAGGATTTAGTGTCAGCCACTATTGGTATGACCAGGGTCAGCTAAGAGCTTTATGTACAGGATTCGAATAGTGTTAAATTCTGTAAGTCTTAAGCAAAGTAAGGGGAAAATTATCCATGCTTTATTCATTTATTTCACTACATCATAGGTATGTTAATAATACAGATATGTAACTTCGGTTTTTTTCACCTCAACGTTGAGCATTTTGTTTTAGTAGTATTAGACTTTGTAAGTCTATAAGGCCAATAAAGTAAGTGTTTCGGATCTGAACTCTTTGTCACAGTGAATAGGTACACTGAATTGTTGTTAACCAAGCTTCGTCAAGTAACACTGCTTCCATCCTTAATTTGGTATTTGATTTTCCCCCTGTATTTAGGTAGCAGGCCGAACATCTTCGTAGTATAATGATGCAACATAATAATGCTTTAAATCTTTATTTGCATCTTGGTTTATGTTTTATTTGGTTGCCAACTAAGCGAGCTAAAGCGATTTAATTAACTGAAAGCAAAATCTTATTTTAGATGGAAACTGAACTGTTCGATAGGAAACAGTCCAAAATAATCCTATATTGGAAGATAGTGGTTCACACTAATGAATTCAAATTTAAGTGCTTATGGGCAACTACTGAGTGTTATAGGCACCATTAGGTTAACGAAAGCTACGGAAGTAACCTGAAATTTGGGAAATAAGGTTATCTAGTATTTAATTACATTTAAATTTGTTACACTCCTGTCATTATTTTTTGAATTTAGTTACCGAAGACTTGCCTTACGTTATCATCCTTGCCGAGCTAAACCTGGAGAAGATTTCAATGAGCGCTTCTTAGCTATTTCAGAGGCTTACGATGTTCTATCGGATCCCAAAAAGAAGGCTATCTATGATCAATTTGGTGAGGAAGGTTTGAAAGGTGGTGCTCCAGTCAATTCTGAATGGACGAAACCGTATGTATATCATGGCGATGCGCATAAAACATTTATGTCATTTTTTGGGACAGACAATCCTTTCAATCGTAATATTTTCAATTTATTAATCATTTAACGATAATCAGAATTTCAGGAAGAAATGGACTCACAAGTTGAACGTAATTTCGGAGGTCCAAATGGTCGCGGTTTCCCTCGTCAAGATCCACCAATTGAACGTGAAATGTTTCTAAGTTTGGAAGAAATTTATAATGGATGTATTAAAAAAATGAAGGTTTCTCGTCGAGTAAGAATAAATCTGTACTTCACTTAGCATGTTATTATTCGTTAATTTTCGATGAAGCATATTATGTAAATGTAGGTCATTTCTTGAAATAAAAAAATAGACAAATATCTACAAAATATTTTTTTAAGTCACAAATTCTGTTAGTGAATTGTCGTTGCATTAATTTGTTGAAAATAATAAATGCAATTTTTTAAAATTCAAGATAATGAACGAAGATGGGCATACGAGTAGTATCAAAGATAAAATACTTACATTAACTGTTCGCCCCGGTTGGCGTGAAGGCACTCGAATCACATTCCCGAAAGAAGGTGATCAAGGTCCTAATACTATACCAGGTGAGGTAATTCTTTCTGTTTTCTTTTTTAAAGTATTATATATATTATGTTTAACTGAATAAATTTTGAATGAATGCGCAGAAATATATATAATGTTTATTTATTACTGTAGATCATCTACAAGTATTTTATAATTTGTATTTCTTTAAATATCAGCCTCATAGTTACTATAATTGTAAATGGTTTTGTTTGCACAGTTAGTTGTAACAATGGAAGGTGGAGGAACTTGTATTCTTCCCATTTTTCAACTGATGACTTCATACACTACTAATAAATAAATTTAAGTGTAGTTTATACATTTTTAGTATTTATTCATATTGATTTTACAGCTGACATTGTGTTCATATTACGTGACCAACCACACAAGCACTTTAAACGTGAAGGCACTGATTTAATATTTACTTCTCCAGTTCCTTTGGGTCAGGCTCTTCTGGGTTGCATTGTGGACGTGCCCACATTAGATGGAAGGCTTTTACATGTGCCAATTACAGAAATAATTCAGTAAGTTGTATACTACTCTACGTCTTCTGCATATTTGTTGTTTACGTCTTTTTCTGCAATTTATAACGATGCAATATTGATGAAAGAAAAAGGATTTGTTTTATTTCACAGTTTTACCTTAACTACAACTTTTCTAGTGCACATAGATCTAATGAACAACAGAACTAGCGGCATATATGTTTTCTTCGCTTCTAGCGTAAGTCAGACTCCATGAAATTTAGTTTAGATTTCGTGCTTCTTAGCTTTCATCAACATAGAGTTCTTCCAACTCTAAGAAGTCGCATGTTCAATTCGAGGTTTCAATCCGCACTATTCAGTGCTGAAATCAGAAACTGCCACTGCATTACTCAGGTCACTGTCGGATTCGATTACACATGCGAATCAGTTTCCGAATGCTCAGTATCACTATTTCTATTCAATTTCATTTTAAATATACTGATAAAGGGAGCCCTGACTGACTTCTATGTATCAATGGTTGACTCCTTACGAGGAAAATGTCCCATCGATCGAGAGTAGGCAGATGATATAGTCTTTTGAATACATTGAGCGAAATTTGAGTCTACTTGGTGTGAGATGATACGGGTAGATTTATCTGCACTGACTCCTAGTTTATATATGGGGAGTGAGGTGGTTGAACGTATTGACTGCTTCACTTAGGAAGTTAAATCACCCCTTATGAAAAGATTGCTGATGAAATCACAGCACATATACAAAATGCTTGCCTTACATATACCGAATTACTTCATTCTGGCATAGGCGTAATATCCGGTTGTCCACCAAAGAACTAGTGCATTGTGTGTCCAGCTGCTTTCGCTAGTGTTGTGAAACATGGAGTTAAGGACAGAAGATACGAAGAAGTTAGCCGTCCTGACCATGGGTTTCTGTATTCATTTTTTCCCGTTAAATGGATAAATCTAGTCGCTAATAATCGTGTCAGATGCAGTGTTGTGTATGGAAGGAAAGTCAGTGGATGTGGTTGTTATGCTGTATCACTTGTGACAGGAAATGGTTTGTGCATACCAAGCCATCACCTTCATTGACGAGCGATGTCAGCTAACATGGGATCGGGTTACAAAAGAGGTGTCGTCAGATGAAAAAAGTATGCCAATCTGTGAAGTCAGTGACTGTTGCTTTGAGACACTTTGGACAGTTTAGAATACGTAGTTGGGGTCCTCAGAATACTAGGATTAAATGGTTGTAGGCTGTCGATGAAATGGCTCGAAATTGTTCCCAATGGTGCAGAAGCTTTCACCTCATGCGAATGTCATGATTCTGAAGACCCTGTTTACTCTTCATGTAGTTAGTCTTTCGTGCATTTTCGTTCGGGATAGTTTCAATTCATTTCTACTCTATACCTTTATATGTGCTAATAGGAAGTGTGGTAAATTGTACTTTTCAACATTTATGGAAAGCTAAGCAATAAAAATTCACCACACTTCAGAATACTTAGATGGAATGTTTTAAAACTTTCGTGTCTCTGGCTAAATGATGGTAGCAGACTTTACACCAATCAACATACTAGTAACGAGTGTAAAAGCTGCCAATCAAGGACTCCTTCTGAAGCACCACATCCCACCAGTCTTACTCTACTGAATACTAGTCGTCAATGTCAAACTCATATAGCAGACAATTTTTGTGCACCGAATTGAGATTACTAGACAAATGTAAATATTTTGTAAGTCATGTTAGACAGTGGATTTCATAAGTGCATACACGTGTGGAAATGTGGAACTGGATAAATCTCCATCTTAAAAAGTTACTAAACACAAAAAAGAGTTGGATGGAACTACGAAATTCAAAGCCGGTTACTAATACTGACTGACTTTTTCTCTGAAACCGCTGAATATTGTAATAAATTAGATGAATATTTTACTGGCATTTCGGACCAGTTACCATTACTTACTCCACTACTATTAAGTTTTGCAGCGAAAATATTTTTTCCTAAAAAGATAGTTGACTGAAGAATGTTGAATATTAGTTTCCAACTCTTCTGTAATGTCTAGTTGTTCTGGTTCTAATTTCACATGTTAAAAGTAACTAATGTTTGTGATCGGTTTGTAGTTTGTTATTAGATATCGCTTCTTTATGAAAATGTCCTCAAATGGTTCTCACCTGAAAAAGCTTGCTGGTATCATTTACATTTATTTTAACGGTTTTCCTACTTTTAATGTAACTTTTTCAACTTTTATAAATATCTGAAAGTCCTGGTTATGAAAAGGTTGTTCCAGGAGAAGGTATGCCACTACCTGATGATTCAGAGAAGAAAGGAGATTTGCGAATTCACTTTAACATTCAGTTCCCTAAAAAACTTAATGGAGATCAAAAACTAATCATTGAAAGAGCATTTTTTGGATAATTTCCCCGTCAAAAAAATGTCCTCATCATTTTGGACACACGTGTGCATAAACTAACACAGATTTTTTTTCAATTAACAAAAAGTTTAGAGAAAGAAGCAGTTATAATGAAACTACATTCATTGTTCTCTTATTTCTTTTTTGTTCAAAAACCAAGTTTTTGAATACTTCATTTTGTAAACAAACATGTACTTGACAAAAAATGACTGATATTCTTAGTTTTCATTATAATATAAACTTCTTTTTTGATGACATTTGATTTCCTTTTCTATTCCATCTAGAAATACATTATTGCAACTAGTATTTAACTACTTTGCAAAACAAGGTGACGCTGGTTTACAGCACTTCTAGACGGTTTTCCAACTTACAGTTCTTCGTCAATACAAACCTTCAGTCTCGAATAAACTATTCATTCGAGCCTTGCATCAAAGACTTTGTCATTCAGTGGTTCTTTCTTACCTTCTCATCTGACTGGTAATGTCATAAGGTCTTCAGTTGATTTTGTCGGTGCAGTTCCTGTTAAAAACAACAATAATCTCTGGAAACCTACCTTTCAATTAAGGTGTAAGTAGCCATTTCGACATAGATATGTGAACTACGGAGAGCCTTATACTGAAGAGGAAATGGTTAATAAGGGCATATCTAATCAGAACTGGGATAAAATGAAACGAATATTTGCACGACAATAAATCTCTTATCGATTTCCATATTTGAGAATAATATCAGCCACTCTATTTGGAATGTTTACCCATCATTTTCTGTCGCTTATCGGTCTCCTATCAGTATATAACCGTTTTCTCGCGTTTCATCTGTAGTGGCTTTCCTACCATCAGTACTCCTCTAAAAAGACGTCACTTTATATGGTATCTATATCAATTTACAAATGGAATATACCACAACACCATCTAATTATGGAATGAATGTCTAAGGCTTTATGAGGTAGTGGAGAAAATAATTATCGGATTGACATCTTTTGGGATGATGGTCAAAATATGTCGTCTATCCAAAGGGAGATATTCCATATGCACACTTTACAAAATTCATCTCTCATGAGTTAAAACTTATTCTGGGGTAGGTGTGTATTGAAAGCAAAGTTATTTTCAAGGTTGATTTAGTCACAAACTGACAACACTTGGAGAAAACCGATAAGCACCGCACAGTTGTTTCCACCTAGTGTTGAGCATTCAGCCGCATGTGCTAATGATCCCACCATAGATCGAACCCGAAACTTTCAGGTTACAAGGGGCTGGATCGGAATCCTGTTACTCATGAATTCGTATATATATATATATATATATATATATATATATATCACCATCCAGTTTCATCAACAAATATATACTCTTGAATCCGATTTGATGAACCCGATCATTAATGAATTTTCTTTTGAACTCAAGAAAATCCACCCCATAATCAGTGACTATTGAGCAGCAGATTATATTTTAGGTTAATAATTAAAGTAATTTTTGCAGTAAGTCACTGTTTACTTATAAGTAACTCGAAATAATCTTTCTAACATTTATTTTTTTATTCATTAGTGAAACGTCTAAGTTAAGAAGGCATTATTCCTAATCCAACAAAAGGCTTGGGAAATTAATTGCTTTTATGTGCTATACAACATCGCCCAGTTTAATAACCGGTACTAAATGAGGAAAAGATGGACATGAGGATAGCAATCCCACTGCGTAAAATTCAGTCCAATCACTACTGAAACTTCGGAAAAACGAACTTATTTTCTGCTGGAATCGAAAAGACTTTGCGAACCTAGTTAGCTAATAAGTACTCTTCTGATGAAAGCGGAAGCAAGAGTAGGAACACGGAATGTACCCACCATGTTTAATACTGGCTAGGCTGCACAGAAAATGAGAAAATATGGTAGTGAACATTGCAACGTACCTACAAATAACGACTACCCGGTGGACAAGAAGGGTGACTTCTGTCTCGTAATGAGTCGAGATGTGCTCGGTGAAATGTCTGCTAACGGAAAACTGAAGATTTCTGTGCCTTTTGAATGAAGGCAGCGTGTACAAGCAACTAGACACTTAAAGGGAGACGTGAATTTTACCATATGGAAAGTGGAGACACAGGCCAATGGACACAAGTTCGAGATTAGGAGCAGATGTAAGATCAGATCACTAACTAGTTCAGAAAACCTTCAAGATCAAGTTGAAAGTCTTCAAAGTAGATGTGTAACGACAGAAGGCAAGAGTCAGGCAACAGATCATTTATTAAGGAAATCAACGCATATTTATATATTTTCATGTTCTTTACTATGGATATTTAAGCAAACAAACACAGTCTTCCGATTGGTTGTTTCTCACGTAAAGTTAATCTTTCATCTATTTGTGACTGTTTCTTGAATGTCAAATCCTCTATATGTTAACTGCATCCGCCTACGCAAAGTCTGCTGTGGTCGGTTTTGAATCAATCTTTGTTCACATTTTCTCACGACAAATCTTGGGAACGTAAATATTGACGTAAATTACTGTCTACCAATTTGGCTAGTAGACAGCTCTCACCACAGATGGAAATAGAACGCGACTCAAATTCAACACTCAAAGACCGAAAAACGAAGCTACAGGTATCACCATCATAGCAGTCATCACGGAAAAGCCAGAAACATTACCAAGAAAACCATGGTAAAACACTGGAACTTTCTGATATAGACCTTTATGGATATCTTCAGAAAGAATAAGAGACGAGACACCGAATGGCTGTATACGAACACCTGGAATCTGGTAGAGGAGAGAAGGACAGTGAAGCATATGAACAATGATGGACGCGAACTGTAACGTAAAACGCACCGGGAAAAGGAGTTAGTTAGTGTTAGAAAAGACAAAACACGCTTTTACGACACATTGCCGACTGCAGCAGAACAGACTGCATGTAAAATACACCCTAAAACAGGATGTCAAATAACCTGGTTGCTATCCGGGAAGACTAACGTTGAAGAAGTCAGTGAAGGATGGCGAAGGAAACTCAATTAGCGAAGAGGTGCAACGGAGGAAGTGTTGACCTGATCATCTCAAAAGACTCTTGAGTCAACCAAAAAGCACAACTCTTTCACAAATACCATCAGCAGACAGAACTGGTTGTAAAAACCAACTCTGACGAAAATAAATTTCTTGAATGCCATTAAGTTTCTAAAAGCTAATAAAGCAGCAGAAAGAGATACGATCCCGAAAGATGCAGTAGATAAGTAGGGCAAGGAAGTAACTTCGCGATTAAAAGAAAGGCTACCTTGTCAAAATCCCAAACAAAGAAGACTTCAGCTTATACAAGAATGTTTAAGTATTTGTTTTGTAGGGATTTTTTCGGTTGATTGGTTGGAGGATTTCATCATGAGCAGGCATCAGTTAGGGGATCATTGCGTACTGATGAAGAGTGCCGAACTAGGACGAAACAGCCGTCCAGTACTCCCAGGTTTTCCAATGATTCTTTAACTGATGTCAGCTCATGATGAAATCCTCCAACCTACACAAGACTTGGCTCGGAATCATGCTCCAGTCCACATCAATCAAATAATAGGCGGAATCATCTTAGAAGGACTAAACGATGTTTGAATGAACAACTTGGTCCGGACCAGGCTGCACTAAGCTAGAACAAATCATATACCTTATAAAACTAAAATGAGCCTAGAATGACTGTCAACTCTGTGCCTCAACAAAACTGATTTTGAAAAAACTATCGACAGTGTCGAACTTGAAGAGATTTTGCAACTATCTCGACACTGTGGAGTTCAGTGCCGTAAACACTCGTAAACTTCATTCAACAACCGGTATACGATGATGTCACATGTCAAGTAATTCACGAAAAAAGCTTAATGAAGTATCTGAAGCAAAGACAAGAGTGAGAATAGGCTGTTTATTGTCACCGATAAAGTTTCCGAATGTGAGTGACTGGATCATGAATTGGGAGTGGTAAGACAGACATCCATTGAACTGAGGGCCTGCAGGACATATCTCCATTGTGCCTTGTTCTCTGCAGTCCTCTTCAACTGACCTTACGGTTTTCCATGAGCTTTCATCTCTTCCATGCCACCTTCAGACGCCCAACTCGTCGTTTCCCATTCGGATTCCACTCCATATCACTCAGCTTGTGTCCAACCCATCCCCATTTTATTTGGCAAATTTGTTGGGCAGTAGGTTCTTGGTTCGTTCGTTCTCAGAGTTCTTAAATGCTTATCCTTTCTTGCCACGTGTAAATAAGACACCTAGCCTAGACACCTGTGACTATGAGCACCGATTCGATAGTCTTTGCGTCAGCAGAAGTATAGATCATGAAGAAAGATAACTGGACACTTAATTAAGTAGATGGGGCACAAGATTCTGTAGCGATTAGTTGACGAAGCATATTATAGGTTATTGGTGTGCTCATGACACTGTCAGTTCAATCACCGTTGTCAGTAGATGCAAAGTGAATTACAAAATGCTTCTAGCAAATACGTCCCAATTTCATTCACATCGTTATAGTTTCAATGTAGATTTCCTCACGAACTAACACCAGTCATTGAAAACTAGGGAGCGATGTACAGCTGTTTCGCCTTAGTTTCGGACTCCTCGTAATCGCACATCCTCGACTCCACCAGGGATCGAGCCAGGGGCCTTCAGCATGAGCGCAAACTCGTTGACTATTCAGCTTCATGGGCAGGAATCCGATAACCCGCGAATTCTAACTTGGTCCGTTCGCGATAGAGTGCTACCCTGAACCAATGCCTTCAATTAGCATCCACCTCACCTTGACATGGTGGACCCCAACAGTTACAACTTCTCATTATAGGTTCAGGATATCCATCTAGTGGCTATCAATGAGCTGGGAATTGATATGTACAGCAATCCAGTGTCCCTAAGTTTTCAATGATCTCTAACTGATGTTGACTCTCGATGGAGTCTACACTGAAATTAATTCAAATCCTGACAGAATCCATTATCTAAATATTATTATTAATGTTTAAACACAGATTGATACCAAGGAATACACCAACCCAAAAATAGAATATATAGAAAGGAAGCAGAACAATTACGGAACAGGATCATACAAAAACATGCCATAATTACAGACACTGATTAAATGCGATTTCGGTATGCCGTAACGTAATACGACGATATCATCTGCATACTGTAGATCAAAAGGTGTTTCTGTAAACAGCAGATCTATACCGCCACTACGCTTATCACTTAGAGATGTCTTTGGAATTAACATATTTTCCAGTGTCAAAAACTAAAGGCCAGTATGCATGCATTTAGATATTACCTATTTGATAGGTAATATTGCGAAATACGAATATTGTCCTCATTTCCCATCATGCTATGAAAAATAATTTTCTATTTGCGTCTCACATCCTGAATATCAAAGTTTTATGTGTATCGATTGATCACTTATTTTGCCATCCAATAAAACTATTCATACCATAAATTCTAGTCGGGTCAAATTTACGTGAGTTTTCACTTCTGCAATGCATAGGTAAGAGTAATTTGTACAAGCGAGTGGGATCACTCAAATCTGTTTACAGATACGTGACATTTACAAGTATAACCATTTTATGAATTAATAAAAAGAGGTTCGTCAGCCATTGTGCGTCGATGGCACAACGGTAGAACGCTCGCCGACCACGCATGTGGTTCAGGGTTCGATCCCCGGCCGACGCACTCCTTTACCTCGCTAAGCCAGTTGTAAGACTGGTAAAGAGGGGAGGTTGGGCATGAGGCTAGTAACCCCATCCCGTAAAAATAAACTTCACTGCTACCGAAACTTCAAACATCTAGCTTGAAGCCCTATATTCCAGTGGAAGCGTAAAGGATTTAAAAAAAGCCATTGTTCCAAATGAAGAATTTCTTAAAAGTCAAACCCTGCTAACTCAAATAGTGCTATGCTAAAGGGTTTCCTTCCACCTCTAATTTCCATTCTTGAATAGTCAGCTATCAGCTTCATACATTCCTTGGTTTTATTGTTGTACTAAACAGTTGTTTAAAAAAAAATAGTCCTCATAATCAAGTTGACTTTTCTCTGGTAAACAAATACCTCACAACAATCTGTAGATCATAACGCATAAGAAATAAAACATCTGGATTCATCATTTCATAAACAACCAGCATATTTCATTTATCTGAGTTATCTTTTTTTAGCATTTAATCACATTTTTGACCTTTCTTAATTTTATCAGTTTAAGTCTTAATTTATTCATAGTACAATAACGTGGTATAGATTTTTTAAAAGTCAATTTATTCACTTAAGTTAGTTAACCTTGGTCTGTAAAAGAAGCTGGTATATTCAGAGACATTCAATTTTACATTAATATGCATAAACGACTTAGTATAATAAATTAGATAATGGATAATGTTGTTTAAGTTCTACACTCTTTCATCGAATGAAGTGAAGAAATGAAGAGTAGTACGATTAATGAACAAACCTCTGATTAAGTTTACGCGGATCACATCAGAAATAAGGGTTGCGTGAAAGTCTTTAAAATGCAAATATCTTTCCAGCCCCTACAAATCTAGCTATTTATGAAAAGTGAGTACGCAGACTATTAGAAATTTGACTCATTAATTTACCAATATAGAACTCTGCGCAAATTTTTAGTGAAGTATGATGGGTTATTTAGGAAGCCCTTGTTCCTGTGGTGAAAGCTACGTCTAACTTACCAAAAGGTAACATGATACTGAGTATTCGCCATCATGATTAAAAAGGAAATTCATTAAGCTAACAGATAGTGTCTACAAAATATTATATTTACACACCCTTAACCTGTGCTTTTATTGAACCACTTATCTGAAAACTTTGAGGACTATTTGTGTGTTGGTTTAAATTTACACATGTCACAATGATATTTCTGTTGCAGCAGTAGACCTTATACGAACATTACGACGTGCTTACCAAAAAAAGGCATTTCCATACCAACCTATATGATCCTAATAAGTGGAATTAACTCTTTTCGAAACCCCGTATTATTCTTATTAAGTCAATTACGACACAAATAAGTGAGAAGTTTCTTCATCCTGGACAACTACTTTTCCAAACTATATTTATTTAGAAACATTTATTTCCCGATAAGAATTTAAAATAAACAACAGAGGTTAACAAGGGTGGATAGAAAATGAGTGACATGTAGGATACTACTCATGTCAATGGTCAATACTGCGTTGGTGCATTCAAAGGTTAAAGTGAAGCTATGAGGAAACACATAAAGTACCTGCATTAATTCACAAAATTTGTAACTTTCAACCCAAACTATGTAAGCTATCTAGTTTGACTTCTCCACTCAACTAAAAGTAACGAATAGGTAGTATAACTCTGTGGTACAGCATTGATGTGGATACGTTTTTGTGTCTATTCACCTATGCTCAGGTATATTTTTATATCGCCATTTTTCTGCTGACTTACAGTAGATGATTTATTGAAAAGTGTAATAAACTATGTTGATACGTTGCTCATTGACACCCGATTACAGGAGGTTATGATACGGCTAGTGATAGTTTATGACAATCATCATTCCACTTGCACATAACTGATTTAAGAGTTTAAACAGACAGTAATAACTTTACACTGTATCGTTGATTGCTTGGTCCCACTATTCGGGACTTGGTTTTATCAACCAACCGCCAAAAGTATTACGTATTCAGATTTTAAAGTTCAACCTGATGCTGTATTTTGTTGTCTTCACCGTAATTCAACTCTCAGATGAATCAATTAAAACAATGCCGAAATTCAGAGTTTGACAGGACTGTGACTGAAATATGTTTTAAAAAGAGTTGTTAAAATATTTTTCCAGTATTTTATTTTGTAATAAAATATCCAACACATTGAGAGTGCTGAGTCTATCAAAACAAAAATTGCTTGACTACATTAATCAAAGTACTTGATTATATGAGAGAAAAAAATCACCACACTAAAAACCACTCTTTCAAAATAATACATTTGTAAAAGTTATTTCTTAGCACAATTAATATCGAGCCTTGTCATAATTGTCACGGAACCATTGGCATGTACTTTCGATAGCTGGAGTAAACAATATTTAGAGAAATATGATTTTAAGTATTAGGACATGAAAACAATGAAGTGTAACAAGATAGTAAAAATCATATAATCGGTTCACAATTAAAAAGTCACCTTAAAGAAAATATATTGAAGAGTACTGAATGTCATTTCTCAGGTGATAGAAGTCTTATTTTTGGGTGAAAAACTAAAATGTTTTGAGGGGTAATCTAAATACAACTAGAACACATGAAATTGGACCGAATAATCGTATTTCCTGACCCATATTTCTCGTTCAGATCTCACTAAAAGAACAAATTCTTTAAGGCACTACCGGAATTTAGTTTTGAGTTTTAAAACACAGAAAGATTTTCACGCTAGAAATTCTGAGTATACCTTAATTAGAAAGTAGATCTCATTGGGAAAGGTGAAACACTCAGTTGGTGTTTCCGAACTGCTCGCAGTAGACATCTAGCTAGTTTCCTTTCTTATCCTCTGCGAGTAAGCTGATTACCACGAACACCTGCAACAACTATGGGAGTGGGTTATGAGATCAGACATGAATGTCAATTATCGCGGTAGTTCCTAATGTTGGCCTTATAATCACTGCAACATTGAGTTTTCACATACATCTATGCTACATATTCTTATGCTTTGCTGGATGTTCCGCTATCTTAAATCGATCAGGTAGTTTTCAAACATAGCATACACAACTACCTTGCATTCTCTGTTGGCAATCACTCTTCAAATTGTCATGCTTTCTCCAGCATAATATCGGCCCAGAATATACTTAGTCAGATTAATCTAAACTAACTGTTATTGAATATTAAATTACGTATACAGCTTTTCGAAATGATATTAGCGAATGGAAAACTTTCCTGTGATACGTTTTTCTCAATGGTTTATCTTATGAAACTAATGTTTTCTAAAAACAAAATACTCTCATAGGTTTTCAAGCAGATAAAAAATCCATATCTATACTTCAGAATACTCCAGAATTCTTATACAATCTATCAGCAAAAGCGTGTTAGTTAGGTTTGAAAATCAGTCACCCAGAGCAGATTTTTTATGTATCAAGTTTATTATATGGAGGCGGATAATACTACCCAGTCACCCAAGCTAGAGTAAGGGGACAGATTTTGGAATTAAGATGCACCAGCTGAAAGTGAAGCCATAAAGCCGATCAGCTACAAAGCAAAAGGACGAACGACCGATGTAATTACATGAATTACTACATATCAAACACAGTAAGCATCAAATCCTCAGGCATCGTCAAAGCGGCCAAACCAGAAGTCGACATATCAACAGAGGCCGAACAGTTCGGTCCAATCAATTAACCGCAAAATCAAGAATGAATTTTAAAAAATAATTATACTTACCTTGTTCAAAAGGAGTGAATTTAAAGTCAGGGTAAAGTCGACGAAGTTTTGATGCATTAGCAGTCTTCTTAAACTGTCCATCTGCTTTTGTTGTATCAAACTGCATGATAATTTTGTTAAGGTATTTCGTACCATTATAATTAGGAATTCGGAAATTTAATATTGCTTCTACAAGATAGACATGTTCACACATACTCTTAAATGATATACTTTAAAAATTTGTACATTCACATGATGTAACCAATGTTTCCACTACACAGTTACTAGATTTGCAAATGTACAAATTACTGACAATAAACTATTATCAATTCACTCAGTACTTCCAGTGAAAAAGTAAAACTCTACTTTTTGATATGTACAACTGTGCACCGGTAGTGAAGTACGTTAGGAAATTTAACAGAATGAAAAGATGGTGCTAGGTTCAATGACTGGATTAAAAGCGTGGAATTTCGCTCAAAGGTGAATTAATTAGTTCGAGCTACCATCTTTCACGAAAACCCGCATAAAATCAATGCAGTGAAACTATGATGGCAGGAGATATATGGAACAAAAAACAATTGGCAAACTGTGAATATATCTACACCATTGTAGATTTTCAGTCGTTTTTCCAATCGCTGAATTTTAACCTTCCGGGAACCGCAGCCACGTCACCCACACTTTCCAATCAACAGTCAGTGACTTCATAGATTGGTTCGAAGTTTTAGTTTGATCAGCCTCTAACCTTTTTCCAATATGATCCTACTTTAACCAACACTGAGGAACATATGTTCATATCAGTGAATTTTAGACATTCTGATCTTAATCCGAATTATGTACATATTTCCTCAGTAAAATATTGGAATTTTTGACATGGCTGTAAGAAGTCATTAATCTGATTTTCAGGAAGATTTATGTACTAAAATTTTGAATACTCAGTGACGTAAACTAAAAAGCATACAATAAGTAAAAATTCCTTGTGACAAGTGAAAGTATTCTAAGTAAATTAAGCTAGCACAATAATCATAAGAATATGCTACAAAACAGACACCGATCAAGATAGAGGCGACTAGGATTGAGAAATATACTGATGACTGATATGAGTGTTTGTAAACAATTCCCAGTGATCAATGCTGCTTAGTGTAGTTAACAGGCGTCAGACAGACAACGGTAGTTATACTAGCGCCTACGTATCCAGCAGAAGAAAATGCAAAAGTTGAATCAGTAGTCGTTACTTGAGAAAAGAAGAATCTTTGAAACAGATAAAAAGACAATATTACGACTAAGATGAAGGTAAAGTATGAATGTTTCTGAAATCGAATCAGCACAAAGATTCCTGCACATATACTTTGACAGAATTATTTCCATATACTATCTCATCGAATGTGGCAGGACAATACCGCAGAACAGACTATGGAACTCTAACATTTTCAGAATCTATCGTTCACTAACCATAAAAGGTAAGGTAACTAAGCAATCAACAATCAAAATTACAGTAGGAGGTAAAATAGCCTGAATGTTTCCTTGTAGCAAACCAGAAATTATACCATTAGGAAAAGTTAACAATAACTTTTTCAATGTGCGCCATCACTTAAAAATCTAACGATAACAGAGTACTATTAAAAACTAATCTGTAGGGTTATGTGGAAATAAACTAGGATTTTTATTATGCTGCAGCAAAAACTAAAACCAAATAGTTAGAAGAAACCTGAGATTTAGGCAATAAAGAGTGAAAATGAGAAATTTAAAATGGACGAAAAGGATACAACGAGATTGGGACAATCCATTGCCTTAGCTACTGCTTCAGCTGCTTGACGAATAGAAATTTCATCACTTTCTGGTACGGACAATATAATTGGAGCAGAATCATTGTACTCCCGTAACACCCAAATAATCAAGTGACCCAAGTCGACAGAATAAATAAACTGGCGCAGCGGTGCACCTGAACCCCAAACAGTTAGCGGTTCATTGTTTTCTGTGAATATAAATGTAAACAAAGTTTTAAGTGAGAAGATGCCAGAGAGGACTGGCGTCATTTGAAAGATGAAATGTATTCAGTATCACAAGTGATTAAGATAAATGAGAAAATTATGATGGCACGAGGATGAAACTGGCTGTCTGTAGGCTTGGAAAACATTCACTAAGGTTTTGCAATTTCAAGTAAAACTTCATAAGACTACAACTCCTTTGAGAGACATTTGATCGATAACTGCTATCTTGATCTGACAGTCAGGCAAAGGAGGCTGTAGGGAACACTTTGCACAGCGATCCGACTAATCTCCATCCAAGCTGGATTTGCTTAGCTTCCAATCCCTACCTGAATAGGGTGTAGGCAACGGATCTGTAACTATAACTGAGGCTGTGATATCTAGTCTTTAAGGAGATAAAGCTGCTGGAACTTATGGTATAACTGTAAAGGTATTTAAGGATGATGAATTTGAACTACTGAATAGGTTAACTAAGAAATTAGGTGGTGTGAGGGGATCTGAGATAGTCCAGATCGACTGCTTCAATTCATAACTTACCTCAGTCTATAAGAAGGGGAACAAGCCTTCCTGTAATAAACATAGGGGTGTTACCTTGATTGAAAAATCCTGCGGTGCTCGGAAGGAATAAACCCGTGGATATCAGGCGGGCTTTAGGCCTAGGATAAGGGTAAATGAACCACACATTCACTGTTTCGACAGGTGATGGGGCATTGGCATACTAACCGGAGGTATCTAACACTTCCCCGACTTTTTGACCTGAATGTGATATTCAACTCTGTCAACCAAGAGGTGATGTGGTAATGTCTTGTCGTAAAGGAAGCACCAAGAAAGTATATTTCACTCTACTTGAACTCACTTGAACGGAAATTTGTTACGAGAAGTGAAGACAACCAGTGATGTCCTGCCAGGCGTACTTAATGTCTCTTATCGTCAATTAATTCCACCAATATTATCAGTCGATTGTTGCTCTAAAGTTGAACAAAAGAATTCAGCCAGCACTTTACCGCTGTAATCCTTTTTCTGAAGTCAATTTCAACTGGCTCCAGGACTGCGTACAAGCTTCCATTTCCTTCTCACATTATCTCCTTCACGTTACCCTTAGACGCTCATCCTGCTGATTGCAGTTCGGGTTCAACTCGACAGCCTCCATAGAGTTTGATTTACTCAACGGTTCCCTTAGTGTATGTCCAGTTTATCTCCGTTTACTTCTGCATATTTGTTGGATAATAGGTTCTGGGCTGGCTTGTTGCTAGCGTTTCTTCTGTTTATCCTTTAGGGCGAGCCAGCCATCTTATATTTAATATAGGACGGAGGCGGCTGCTAATGAAGGTCTGCAGCAACTGCATAATGAAGTTATACTCTACCACAGTGCCCAAGTTTTATACTTATATCAATAAGGTCTGCAGTAGACTGTTGGAAATGCTTTCGATGATACGCGCACCAAGTCTGTGAATCATATGAACAGCACTTAACTGACTTTAGTGTCGAAAATTAGGATCTCTGTTCTTTTGGTAAGTGATGTAGATCTCCACACCGATTTCAGAGTAATGAATGCCTTTCCTGTACTCTCATGCATTTGCTTCAAGCAAATCACCAAGGTTTCTGTTATGAATTACTTGACATTTGGCATCATCACATAGCGAGTTGTTGAATGAAGCTTACAAGTGTTTGCAGCACTGAACTCCATAGTGTTGAAGTAGCTGCGAAATTTTTTCACGTTCGACGCTGTCGATAGTTTTTTTCAAAGTCAGTGTTGTTAAGGCACAGAGTTGAGTCATTCTAGGTTCTGTTCGCTTAAGTCAGGTATATGATTGGTTGTTCCTGAACTCAGCCTGTTCCGGGCCCAGTCTTCCACTCAGAGTACAGACTAGCTGGCCGGGGTTTATCAAGAACGGCTAGAGACTGTTGTTGACATGGCTCAAAATCATTTTCAACGGCATAGATTCATTCACTCTTTATGGACTTTCATATTCATTAAATTCACACTTTTTACCAGTTAATTATTCTTTCTACCGCAAATATCCATCTACTATAGTTTCTGTTTTTATCTCTACCTTTATGTGAGCTTTTATGAATTTCGGTAACTTGTACTGCCGTACTTCAGTGCAAAGTTGTATGGTGAAAATTCGATTCAGTTTGGTTTGTGTTGTAGTGTACTATACTAACAGTAGTAGTTGCGTATGAGCATTTACCAACAAGATTACGGCATAAAAAATAAGGTGTGTTGCATAATGAATTTTTGCTTCTTCTGACTACCTATTGAGCATAGGTTCACTTGAAATGCTTCAAATTTTTGATTTCTTCTTTGTCTTTTCTCTTCAAATAAGATTAATTTGCATATGAAATTTCATAATATGATCAGTGAAATATTTACATTACCATGCTACTGATCTTACCGCCACCTCCATGGGCTACATATAGTTTTGTCCATGATATTACTATTATTACATGTATAATCCATATTATTTATCATTTACTCACAAATCACCATCATTATTTAAGGCCTTATAGATATTTGATTTCAGTGAGTGAGTTTTCAACGTAGAACTTTGCTCAAAAGTGCAGCAGTTCAAGTTACCACACTCCATATAGCACACAAAGAAGCTATGAATATCAAAGTAAAGCCTAAGTACAGTGTAACTAAAAATAGTACTGTTCACATGGATATTCTCTTCTAATGTTAATTTCAACAATGAGAATTATTTCCGCACTTATGAATGTTATATGGAAACAGAAATCAGAATATCCTCAACACCAACTGCATATATTCGAAAACGCTTTTTTAACCAGCAATACTCTAAAGTGTATATGAGTGTAAAGATATTAAAACTTCAGAAGAAATGTATAACTAAACAAAATAACGCGGATTACTTTTGGCTAAATAAGCTTTATGAATAAGGCCAGGAAGAACATGTCCTTGATTGATATCAAAGTTGTCGAATGGTCCAAATACGTTTGTAGGAATAACAGATGTATAGAGAACCCCATATGTTTCGCTGTACCCTCTGCGAATAATAATATAAAATGAACAAATGCATATGGCGGAAATAATCATAATTAAAAATTAAATAGCCTAACAAGTGTGGTTTCATTAAAAGTGAAATCGACTTAGGGTAATTGAAAACAAATCAACTACTCAAAAATCCAGTCAAAGAGACAATGCATAAACGTTAAAATGATCAACAACCAAAGTGAATTCACTTACCTGTTCATTATATCAATCATGCGCTTGGCATATGAATATCCATAATTGGAATCATGAGGTGGTCCATTGTGAACCATCGTCTCATCAATAGGATAAGATGTGCGATCAGGGAATATACATGTTGAAAGGCAGGAAATCACCTTTTTTGCACCAACTGCATGACTACTTGACAAAACATTATCATTTATGAGCATGTTTCGGCGCTTAATAGGAATAAAAATCATAAGAATCATAAAAAATACTAAGAAACAAACACTGATAATCATTTACCCAGGAAAAGAGATACACGGGAATGGTGGTGGCTTCAGAATTGGTTTTCAAAACTAAACTTGTTCTCGCCAGATATGTAAATCTTTAAATAAACAATGCAAAAGTGAAATTTCATCCCGAAAAGCTGTTTGAATACTTCTTGTGATTAAGCTTAAGAGCATACCACTCATCTTGCAACTCTTCCTCTAGTAGAAACTAAACCAAAATCAAATTATTGGTAATCTTAACTTTGACCAACCAGTAGCGCACAAGCTACGTTTTATGATCAGCGAATCAAAGCATTCTAGAAGTTCAGACGTTTTGAAACAGGCATTTGTTACTTTTTACACCGCTTGGTTGTCAGTGATTTCGGTTCGAAATATTATTTGAGCTGGTATTGTTTAGACATTTACAACTCTTACCGGAAGTCACAATGAGCTCTTTGTCACACAATACATTCGAAATAAAATATCCATATTCAGAAACACTGATAGCCTCCGATATTAAATAAATACCGCAAACGGAATTCGAGTTACACGTGTGTGAACGTATGCTGCGTTAACCCTGATAACAAACCTACACCTTCCATAGCTGTGGCATTATGAATCATGATATATCGAAATATATCTAGCAAAAATGAATTAATCAGTGCATTATAGTTAGCATATAACATACCGGAAAGTAAACAACAATCCTGTTTAGATTTTAGAGCTTCTAATGCATACAAAATGACCGTATGAAGTTGTTTACACATGCTGCCTATATATATATATATATATATATAGGCAAGTTTTACATATATATATATATATATATATATATATATATATATATATAAAACTTGCTTTAGTTTCTCAAATATATTCTCATGTTATCCGGAATACAAATGAAAGGGGTAAACATGTTAAATAAACGTAGGACCTGAATGCATTCCCGAATTCCATTGCATTAAGTGTTAAATGAAGCTTAAAGCCAGTGACAACAATGATTCCATATCTATATATCTATATAAATATATATATATATCTTGTTCTCTACCCCCACCCGATTCAATTTCTACACCTCACTACCACTGTTACTGACTTGAACAACGCTCAGTTTCTAGTCATTCATGTTGCGTCATCCAACTTATTCACTCAATTTCATTTCTACTTAATCTCTACCTGTAATTACCTCTGTTGCTATCCTGACCTAAGTTGTAACATTTTAGCCAATTATATTACGTCATCTAGCTTACTAACTCAATCTTACTTTAGTTGCTGTCTGATTAACTTTGTCTCTATACTACATCATTCTTGTATTAACTAATCAATTATCTAAACTTGACAAACCTCATGTACACACACACACACAAATATTTATATATAAATGCGATTGTACAGCTACGTGAATGAATTCGCCGAAAAGAGTCTCTTCGCTGAATGTCTTCTCTTTTTCATATCTATATTTTACTTTCCATAATAACAATACAATGACCGAACAAAAGCTAAGGTCTACTTGAATGCGTTGCGAATATTTATCTCGTGTTTTGGCTATTACTCCTATTAATTATTTACTTAGTTGCACTAACTTGTGCCAAAAAAATATATCAAACTATAGTATCCACATAAATTTATACTGGTATACTTTTTGGATAATCAATATCAACCACCTTAACTTCACTTACGAAAAATTCAAGATTGCCAGACATATTGGCGAATAAACCACCAACTTTAGCTGCAAGGTGTATTACGTAGGTTGGTCGGATACGCTCAAAATATGCTCTAGTGGCAGCACTATCTGCAAGATTGACATCCTTAGAAGACGAAAATATCCATTTTTCACCATCTCTTTTAAGAGAATCGTTGATATTCTCCAAGGCCAATCGGATGCCATTTCCAACCAAACCTGTGCCTCCTGTGACCAATACAACTGTTTCCATATTATAATCTCACGGAATTTCAGGGCCAAATTACTGTGACGAAAAGATATGATTGCTCCAGACTGACAAGAATAAAAGTTGTCCCAATTTGATTGAATTTATTCTTTTGACGTTTTTTAATAGGTAAGCCCTGCAATGGATACATATTCTGCGCTTAGATGAAGTATGGTTACCTGATTATCATTTTTTCGGTATTAAGAAATAACAGAAAAAATAATAAAATTCAGCAGTTACTGCCTGCATGAGGCGTAACATCAGAAGTTCAAATTAACCTAAGTTAAAAACGACGGAGATATTCAATAACAAAAAAAATATCGAATCAAAAGTTTACCGTAATTAAGTGCTGAATCAAGTGATTATTGAATGAACCCCTATGACCTCGCGAGTTTTAGTGATTGACTGAATTTTGGACTTCACTGTTTTTGAAACAATTCTTCATAGCCAAGAATGCTAGTTTTAGTAGGGACTTCATTTCGTTAACTTGACAGTGACTCAGAAAGATTATAACTCTAGAAATCATTTTGTACAGGTGCCTCACTAGAGTCAGTAGCATGTGAGATCAAGACAGGGAATATTGGTCTAACCAAAAGTGACAATAGGAGATTAAATGACTTCTAGTATCAAGAGAGGATGTGTGAAATTAAAACTGAGTAATCGAATATTAGGCTACAAGACACTGGGCTGGTGAGATAAATCAACTTCATACACTTTGACAACAATGGAGCATTAGGAAACCTCCCTCCCAAGGGTAATGAATCATAGACTGATGCACAACCCAAGCTAAATATAATCCTGAATTAAATCTCGCTAATTCTGAACTAACTCTAACATTCTACAATGAGTAAATTCTGTAATAGTTTGATTATGCACACAGAATAGAACTCAGTGCTGGCTTTCAGCATGACTGGCACTAAGTCAGCACCCTGTGCTCTTTCTAGGTAGTTTCAGAAGTAGCTCAGAACTTGTTTGCTAATCAGCGTTGTTTCAGCCTTCTCAGTCTAGATGCAGCACTGGCTGGTACTAATTCAGAACAAAAAGACTTAGTTCAGCAGATAGTAGCAATTTTCTCAGCTATATATCAGCACTACTTCAGCTGCAAATCCCATTTCTGAGGTTTCCCTGCATTAATTAAGTGTCCAATGCCATTTTTAAGATCGACCAGCGTTATTTCAGTACACAGTGGGTTCATTTTAGGTAGATAAAATATTCATTTACCACAAGGCATTATCGACGCATGGGTTAGAATTAGTCTAGACTTATTGTAGAGTGGGAAGTTTAACATATGGAAATGATAAACGAAGGGACCCAATAGGGAATATGTAATATACCCAAGCTTGCAACAATGCTAAACTTATTCTAACCTATTCCTTGATAATGCCTTTTTATGGTAAGTGACAATTTTATCTACCCACTATATTCTGAAGTAACGCTAGTCCATGCTTAATATGTCCTGTGAGGGCTAGAACAACGTCGATAAGCAAAGCTAGCAGGTTACGATCTACTCCTGAAAATGCCTAGAAGAAGAACACGGTGCTGCATTAATGCCAGTCATGCTGAAAACCAGCACAGAGTTCTAGTCTGTGCCATTAGAGAATCCATTTCAGAACAGATTCAGAATTTACTCACTATAGCATGTTAGAATTATTTCAGAATTAGAGAGATTTAATTCAGCATTATAGTAAGCTTGGGTACAGAATGATATTAAATAGAGAGAGATTATGAACGCAGAACCTAACATTATTGATTAATGTTTGAAGTGACAGATAAAATATTGAAATGACAGTCCAGTACCATAAAAAAAATCGAATTTAAAAAAAATTAAAATCAAGGTGACGATTAGGCGAAAAGCATTTATCCACTAAATCTTATTACATTTCAAAAAAAATTCGAATAACTACCCAAATACACCAACATATCTACGTATTTAGGTAACTCAAATTAGCATGAAACACTGTTCACAGGATGCGTCCGGACAGTAAAAATATACCAACTCAGAGAACACAATAAAATGAAAACCATCCACCTGAACTACAAATACCTATTGGCAGAAATATACCTTAAAAAATACATGAGAAACGTACAACTATACAGCACAACTGATATAATGCTTTTTTGTACGGCAGATGTTGAAAAGATACTAAAATGATACAATTTTCTCCACAAAATTTTTCGAGCACTCTCAGCATTAATATGGCAACAACCACTAGTGTCCAGCAGTACGCTCATTATTTCAACAGATGCTGGGTTTTTCATGCATGCAAAGTGGCCGTTCAGCATTACATACGGTTCAGCATTATACCTAACTAGGTGCCTGATTTATCAGCTGGTCGTCGAAAAATCCAGGATATGTGAGCGTATGTAGAAAAAAGCACTGAGAGAATGAAAAAACCTATGATGCCCGAAGTGTTAGAATCCAGATAAGTACTGATATCAACACTAATTTCAGACTTCACTTATTTCAGCCCGAATTTGAACTGATTAATCAGCACTTCTATGTCGTTACTGCCCAAGCTTACAACAATTCTAGACTTATTCTAACCTATTCTTCGATAATGCCTTTTTATGGTAAATGAAGATTTTTTCTACACACTATGTTCTGAAATGACGCTGGTCGTGCTTAAAAAGAGAGCTGGGTGCTGAATTAAGTCTTTTCGTTCTGAAGTAACGCTAATCCGCGCTGAATATGTCCTGTGAGGGCTGAAACAACGCTGATAAGCAAAGTTACGATCTACTCCTGAGAATGCCTAGAAAAAGAACACGGTGCTGAATTAGTGCCAGTCATGCTGAAAACCAGCACTGAGTTCTAGTCTGTGCCATTAAAGAATCCATTTCAGAACAGATTCAGAAGTTACTCACTATAGAACGTGAGAATTATTTCAGAATTAGTGAGATTTAATTTAGCATTATGGTAAGCTTTGGGTGATTTTCAATTTCAAGATTGCTGTTGTACAGTTGAAGGACAGATTTACTGAGAAGGCTAAAACTCTGGCAATATCTAAGAAACAGATACGAAATAGAGTGTACTCAGCGAAGTGACGTACTGAGTGCTATGCGAGTCACAGTGGCCTTGAAATTTGTACACGCACTGATTCTATTGTCCACCTATCTTGAAGGTTATGTCTCAGCAATATGTTCAAGCGCATTCAAAGTTATACTTCTGTATCAGCTGTGGATCAAAGACACCTTAAAGTCTTGATTTGAAGATGGTTTTCAGTTTTCAACTGCTTTGGTCTTATCAAATATCTGTTTCACAAGCTTAAATGAACTTAACTGATTCAGAAAACCTATTCCGTGAACGTGGAAACAGTGGGATAAAACGTGGGATCCATTCATCTCAAAAAGTGGTCTTAATCGAATACCATAATTATCATTTTAGGAGGTGAAGGATGAACTCTCGAGACTCTTTACATTAAATACAATCCAGAAAATCCGTGACTAAGAAAGTCTCCTTTTATTATGTAAGGACTGCACCTCTGCAAAGTTGAACTGCTCTAGTCTGATAAATCAGTAGGTTGTGACTAAGACATATTTCCATCAGGATTTCTAGTCACACAAAAGCCCAAAACAGTCCTCCTAGGCGGCAACGACGGTTCAAAAGTTCAAAATTCTTCAAACAATGAAAGTGGTATGGTGTCCTAGGATTTGGTTATTGACAGAAATCACTTTGCTTCTCTCTGCTGATCAATATTTATCGTAAAACCACTAGGTAGAGTAGAAAGTCTATGCTGATTTTGCAAATGGCCTAGGATTACAACCTTCTGTACTTAATGGCTATGTCTGCTGTCAGTTAACGTCCTGGTAAGTTTTTAAATTTGTTTCTTTGTTTCTAATGTTTGTGAAACCTTACTCAACCGAATAATTAGAATTTATCTTCAGAAGAATTACGTCTTTTTATTAGCTGAATTGATCACCAAATCTCGGCAGTTTACTTCTGTTATCTCAATCGTCTAACAATGGTCTGAAACAGAGAGCAAACTGCACGTTTGCATGGTGATCACACAATTGCCGCGTGCTAGTAAGGACGAAGACTAGAGGCCAAAGATTATATTTACGCCAAATCGTAAAACAACTGGATGAGAGGGAAAGAGCATTCCTACTGGTCATCCGTTGCATCGTCTTGGGCGACTAATCTCTGCACGCTACGTAACCAACCTGAAATCAGACGAGCATAGTTTAAACATTGGAAAATCGCCGAACTTACCATGCCCTGCACTTGTACATCTATAATCACCCTCCAGAACTTATTGGCGCTCCGTTTAAAAGAAAAGGAAGATTCAAAGCGAAATGCTCCGAGCATAGACGTAGATGTGTAAAATGAAGTTAGTTAGTCCTGGTAGCGTTGTCTATAATGATAACGGTGTTATATTATATTCAGTCGATAGTCCTAGTAAAAAGACATGCCACACTCCCTCCGTTGAGACACACGGTATTTTATCTTCTACGGTTGGTATTATCAAAGAAAACCTCCAGGATATTGACATACGAGTGACTTCATGTCTGCTATCATAGCTTAGTACAAAACCCTTTGTCATTGCGGAAAATAATGTTGCAACACTTTTGTCACTCCACCTAGTTTTAAATCAACGGGATTAGTTGCGTACCAAAGTTGAAAATAGTTTTCAGGTTAATATTAAATATACTTTAAGTCCTTTATCCCCGCCAATTCATCTCAAAATCAATTTTCTGCCCACTGTTAGGAAAGCGAACAGCGAGATAAGTCTTTATAGCTTTAAAATCACTGAGTGGACCTACTGAACTTAGTATGAAAACGGAGATGATGATTTTCAACACTATATTCAAGTCAGTACTTCTAAGTTTCGGGTACTTGGCATGTGTGTCGCAGAAGCATTTCAAGCAAATTGTTGCAGACTTTCACAAACGGGCTTCTGCTAATAAGTGAAGATGGTAGACCGAAAGGACAAGCGACAAGGAACTCTGGCAACGAACCTGCCAGTTACATGTAGCAGGGGGAAAAATACAACTAAGGGCTACTCCGTGAAGATCACCGAGTGACACCACAATTCATGCAGGCCGTCGAAACGAACCTGGGTGAGACGAGACTTATTGGGAGTCTGGAAGGGACGTCCAAACACAAGAGACGTTGGTAATGGAATCTTTGCGATTCGATACACACGTACAGGGCAATTATGAATAGTATGTATTAAAATCGTCATTCTTACACATATTGCGTGTTGTACTACTTCTGCCCTTCGCACTGTATTTCTCTACCTTCTGTTCATTTCTCCCGCATTTCGCTGCAATAGTGCTTCATTTCCTTACCTTCACATCAAACCACCTCTCCACTAGTTGATACCTTCTTGCTGATGGACGTCTTTCCATACACTTCCGGTAAGAACCAGTCAGCAGCACACACCCACATCATGGAAAAATGAAAACTTGTGGGCGGCAGTTGAGCTAGGATCAGGTGATATCCAGGAAAATAGTACAGCCGGGACGTTCTGTTCATTGCATTCTAATAGCGGCGCGAGGAGTGAATGGTGATGTACTATATGGCCCACACTATGTTTGTGAAATATGTAGGCCGAATGAAGATATTCAGAACTTTCGATATATTTGTGCGGTCCTTTGCACTCGGGATCAGCTAATCACTATGTGATGCAGACTTTTGGCCACCTGGACCCATCCACACCAATATTAAACTTGCTGTGGGATACCTGTTGTAATAGGTAACGCAGTCTTGAATTTTAAGTAACAGTAAATAATATGATGTCAACTATTCTTATCCTCCAACCTTATAAGCTAAATCTGATATTATCCCAGACTCGAAAATAACTCCAGTGCAGCACTCCTTATTGTTCCAGTCTCCAAAAATATTGAAAGCCTTATCACCAGTCAGGCGACTGTTGGTTATCAGCATAACGCAATGTCACATGTCACCCACAGTCTACTCGAAAGCAAAAAAGTCTGCGGAATTAGTAATAAGCGATATTTCCCATCGAACTTGACTGAACGTTTCACTTTCGCAAACATACGGACGTACAGTGAAAGAACAACAGAAAGTCCAAATTCAAAGGGCAAATAAATGGATTCAACGTTATTATACACACAATTTCTTCGTCAGTTTTTTACATATCCCTGGTGCTGAGGATTGTAGAAAAAGAAATTTTTCAAATCACTTAAACCTTCAACAATCAATTTGTTCATATGTGCATGTTGAAACATAGGGTTGATTTTGAAGAGGCAAGAGCTCGGAAGCCACGTTGTGGTGCGATTGTGTGTGTATGCACGCCCCTCAAGTCATCGTCAGTAAATACACCTCTCAGCAACCGTAATTTTTATATACTCCCTTTACCAGTTGGGACAGTGTTAAAAACAGCCTGGTCACCGCGTTAGGTGGCAAAGACTAGAGAATCAGCAGGTAGAGTTCGGGTCTAGCAGGATAAGTAGACAGGCATCAATTGTGAGCTTCATTTCTGGTTTAAGCCAACTGGAAACGGGCTCATAGTCGATCAGGCAGCCTGATTAATTGGTTTTCCAGTGAGGTGTCAGCTGGGTTGTTTGGGCCTGTTGCGGAGTATATGTAGTTCATTGTCTGACCAACCACGTGAGTTTCTCCATGCGGTCTGCCTGCAGATTTTGAGCTGCTGATCGTAAGCGTATGGTTTAATGAGGTTTTGTTAGTACTAGCAATGGCCCACTTCATCATATCGCTCGTTACTCATCCTTAGGGAAGGCAGGTGTCTGAAATTCACTATACATCCTTCTACAAAATCGTGAGAGGCCATATAACCATAAACTTCCTTCACAGGCGCTGCCTCTGGCCACCCGGTAGAGCTATTACCTCAGATGAAGGTGTCATTATGTTTCAGAGATCCATGAGGAAGTGTTTGACATGAAGTTTTGTGGTTTTGTGCTCCTTCGTAATGATGAATTCACAGCCTTCCTTAGGAGGTTTAAAACCAAGTGCTTAGCAGTACATAACCAGGAGATTGGTACAGAAATACTTTGTCTCTTACCTTCCACATAAATAGGGGCTGGCCGCCAGTGGCTGCTACACGACTGCATTGATTGCTTAATGAAAAGTGTCCTCTAGGGGCTTTTGGATCAGGAAGCACTTATACGAAGGCATATGCGATAGCAACCTTAACTTCAGTGAATTTTCATTTAACCGTACAACATGTGTTAGTTCACCTGAGACTTCCACGGAAAAAGTTCGACAGTGATCCCAATAAGTGTCTGAGTTAGGAATAATATCCATAATATATATATCGTATAAACGGGTAAGCTTATGTGAGATCCATGCCATTTTTACAGGCACGATTAATTACGTTACAAATTACAATTGTGAATTAGCATAGATTATCACTTTTTCAAAAGTTCAAATTGTTTAATTATAGTACAAGCAATCAGTACAGATTCTTATAAATGTTAAATTGTACACCCTTCACTAAGGTCACCATTGAAGTTGAGCTACAACCCTGATAATAGTTACGGCCAATCGATAAACAACATATATTTGAGTGAGTGCTATGCCCACGTTGAACGCTATTTCAGGAGAAGAAAATTCTGGGCAGCTGCAAAATGGTATAAAACGCAATCATGGCTTTAATCTACCAAGTCATTACATGTGTGATGATTCGATGTGCCCTATATAGTATCTTATAACCACTTCCGTACCATCCAGTGAACCCAAACTCTTGCATAGATTGAATGGCCGAGGAAATCGATCGATTCTGCTGGAAACGTGATTTACGAATACTTATGGTAATGCCTAAAATCGTGATTGACAGAGAGCAGAGTATAGTTCCTCAGGCTGGATTCCTTACTTGGGTTCTCGATTTCGTATCTAAATAAGTATTTAAGAATTACAATTAGCAGGACATATCCTCATTAGAAATTTGAAATGTGCTGCACTCCTTAGATTAAGTGGCTCTCGCAGTAATTCAAACATCCCGAAGGAAGGATCGATAAACGTTTTCTAAATTTCTATTGAATCCACTAGAATTTGGGTGTAAGGCCTACCTGAGTAGTCCTTGAGATTAACTGCCACGCCTGATATTATTGTTGTCAGATCATGAATATGTAGCAGAGCATAGACATTCGGGAGTGCCCTTGCACTGGTATGTTACCTAATAATCTGTTTATCTTAGGCTTTCTTATGAAG